GGGTGGAAGAGAGTCAGAGGCGGTCAACCAATGACTTGGCAGCGAAGTATGAAAGCTATTACCAGCAAACTTAGCTGCGCTGGTCATTGCCGTCTTCCTGGATGGGGACCCCGAGACGGGCCACATCAATGGCTAGAGACATTGTCAGATATGGCCCAGTCGCGCCCTCAATGGCGCTCGTGCATCCAAGCTATTGCCTTCAATGCATAGCTCCTTTTTCAGCCCCCTCACCACTTGACAGCCCACTGACAGTGCTGGATTTATGCACCAATTTATCAGCTCCCGCCTGCAACGTGCAGCTACCTACCCCTCCCCCCAAACCATCGGTGAACGAAACTGCGGCAGCTACAACCACAGTACGCCGAGTACGCGGTTATTACAGCTGACAATGATAATGATGATGATGATGTTGATGAACCAGTAAACAAGATCTCTTTCAACTAACAGACTAAATCACTGTTGAGTATTCGGTCTTACCGTGGACCTCATTCGTGTCCGTCTGCCGAATCCTACGATTGAAATGTGCCGAACAATTGGTCTTTCAGTCCTTGGTGGTGAATAAGTAGTATCGGTATAAACGGAATATTGTTCTGATGAAGTGTTGAGACGAGAGAAAAAGTAACATCCACAGAGTATGGTTTGCGACCAACATGACCCAGCAAGTGAAGGATTCAGAAGATCCACGAATATTACTGCCAGGCTCGGAATGCTCCTCCGTGAAAATGCCAATAATTGCCCGTAAACTGTGGTTTATTTAAAAGTTCAGGATGGAATCTCGCGAAATTCGGGGTTTCGTCATTGCCCGATCGTTTGAGTACTCACCCACAGCCTTCTGATACCAGTTCAACCACAGAACATACTCCAGATTTCGAACAATTTTTTTTGTGAACAACGCGCTACACCTAGGGTTTACTGGTTTCACTTTATTTTGTGCAATCCAAGCCAGCCAAACATTATGATTTACGTTTTCCTTAAGGTTTCCAGTGCGTATTTCACCAACCCATCCGTTGCTCATTGTTCTAAATTTCTGTAAGTCTCTTTGAGTCACAAGTTTTGAGAATCCGAACGTATTGAATGTCCAGTCATCGGTTGATGGCTAGGGGAAAAGGTAAGGTGGCGGCTCAGTGGTGGTTACTTCGGTTGGTGATCGGTTTGGGGACTACGTAAATGAAGTACGTTATTGGGAAAGGTTCTGGCTTTTTTCAGCACGATTAGTTTTGGATCCGCACATTACACGAACGGGTGAACCCCAAGTGAGTTTTGTCCCGCTGTGTTTGCCCACCTAAAAAGACTCCTGATTACTTCACTCAAGCTACTTACGATCCGTTTTAAGTAGCTAAAACAATGCGGAAAACGGGGAAGGGTTCTTTCGGGTGGAGGTCATGAATATCAGAAGTTTTTGACCATACAAACAGCGCAATCGTTTGAAACCACTGTTTACCTCTAACTCGAGAAAATTATGATGGCTGTTTCTATGACCGAACTAACAATGGACCAGATATCTTTACATCTACAAGTGGCTTGTTGGTTTTAGTGGTAACGAATAAGTGTCTCCTTAAGCATTATGAGGTCCAACTGGTTGTTCAGATTTGTCACTACATGTCGCCGCTGTGCAACATTGCTTAGCCTAGTACTTAAATCACTCTGGTTGATCAGCAGCCTTGCTACTGTGTTATCGGAGGCAATGTTGGTCATTGGAATCACTCGACATCCTTCAAAAGGCACCATTTAAAACGGAGAGTAAATATGTGCTTCAAACAAGTGTTTTAAAAATCCTTCAATAAAGGGGTCGAATTTGGCATTGTGCTGAAAAGGTTGACACCTCGACAGTATTCTGAGCCTATCTTCAACCCTCGGTGAAGGTGTACCGTCGAATCATCTGTACAATATGGTCAGTTTTATGGCACAATTGTAAGAAGAAAATCCTCGTTCTGAGACAAACCCTAGGTGACTACCATCAAAGTCAGTTAAATCGGCTAGTGGTTGTATGAACAGAAACCATCGAATTTCAGATACGTTCAAGTTCGTTGATTTCCGATATGGTTGCCTCAGAGATGGAGTGAGACGAGAGAGCATCAGACATGTCATGCATTTCCTGTTCAACTCTGTATAATTCACGCAGATGAGCTCCTTTAAGAGGCCGCTCTGTTCGTGCTGTGAACATATCCTCCGAGTTTGCGTTCCACGAACCCGCGCTGGATCTTTTCCTCTGAGTTATGGGTGGACCTGTTCCGGTCTTATCCTTCCTGGTCGTTTCTAGAAGATAATATCTAGCTACAGCTTCAGCGGCTGCTCTTCCATCACGGTCGCTCTCCGTGCCACTCGCTACAGCTACCGCTTCCAGTTTCCGTCGAACAGACGGTGGCATGAGTAGGCTGCTCAGTCCCCGCAACCGATTGCCATCAGCGGCCTGCGTTTCTTCGGCGGAACCACGGGAGTGTGTAGACCCGGCATCTGACCCGCGGTGACCGCCTTTGCTATCGCGGCGTGACATATCTCCCTGCATAGCATCCATGGCTTTTTGATTTTGTTGTCGTTGATAGTTCATGAGCGACAATTCTGCAGAATTAATGCAAAAAACAACAGAGAATGCGTCACGAAGCACCACAACTACAGACAATGAAATTTGTGGTGTCTGCATAACCCGCTTGTAGAATCCGTCTTACTACTTGTGAATAAACGAACTAATGTCCCAGTTGTTTTATGGTACATACATAAGAGTGATAAAAAACTCACTAGAGGATCTGAAATTTGTGAACACGTTATATAGCACCAACAGGCGCGCTACTAAAACCAACCAGACACAGAAAAGACTCCTGAGCATTTTACACGTAAATTTCACGGTAGATGTTATTTTTGAATCATTGGGCAGAAAAACGGAGGACACAGCTGACCAGCGAACCCCGGTTTCTGCATTTTTTTCTATCTAACCTTAGAAGTGCGGAACTAAACACTACATATGCTGCTTGCACTGACACCTGACTTCATCGTTTGCTCGAAATCCCTTGGCTTGGAATCGAGGTATTGTTTCTCAGAGGCGAGTCTGATGGCCTGCTGGGTGGCGTAAACATCCCAGGGAAGCGCAGGCATCTTCACCCGGAATGAAAGCAGTTTTCATACGAAGTCAGGAATAGTTATCTGGAGTTGTTCACACCCATGAGGATTGTCCTGTTTCTAATACGTTTGGTGTTATGCACCCTTGGGTTTACAGTCGTAACCGTTCACGACGTTCTTAGCTTTCATTTTTAAATTTAAATGAGCGAATCGAAATTGGCACCATTAAGTTTCCACGTCTGAGCGATTTTACCGGGCTCGGGTTGACTGAATATAGAATAGACGAAGACGACAAATATGGATGAAATCACACTAACAGTGTCCTCGATCAATGGCGAAACGTTTGCAATCCGAATGCGAAGCTCGGAGATCGATCCACCAGTCAAACAGAACGATTAGCAAACGCATGGTGGCTCGCTTAGTGGACCAGTGGTCGGTGCCCCACCTTACGCCTATACACTTTGACTTCTCACAGTTTCTGCATCTATCTTGGGCGTTCTCGCTAATTCATTCAGTGTATCTTGGCTTCCAGTATAAAACAATATCGTATTGGTACTTGGACGAATCGGACGTATGGGACTCACTCGCGGCTCTTTACTGGTTTCCTCATTGGGTTCAGGAGCGGTGAATAACATCTAGTCCGAATATATAATTGCCACCCAAGTGAGAACTCTTAAAAGGAAGCACTTCCGGAGAGGATACATTTGGTAGCACTGCCGGAGCAAATCCGAAAACGAAAGAGAGGCCGCCGGGCGAACGTCGAATTCGATGGTTCATCACTCCTCTGAGAGGAATCGCCGCAGTGTAACCACCTAGTGTCATGTTTACTAGTCGATGGTTGCTGTCACTTGTACTGCTAATGAACTGTCTCGATACATTAGGACACTTCCTGAGTGGCTTAGCAATAGTTCAGCCTGGGGTACGCGCATAGCGCCACGTGCCACTTTTGAAATACGGATTGAATGTGATGAAGCTAGCGCGTTGGATTGAGTAGCACATGGTAACTCGATGTCTGTCGAGTTCTCAAATAATGGTAGTGGTCCTTTTCTTCATATCTGAATACATATTTTCAGTAAATATTCTCATTTAGCCAGGCGGTACACAAATTTCCTAGTCTTTATGAGGGCTGGTGGCCGTGTTGGTTTCAGCGTGTACACTAGTCCGCCTCAGTAATAAATATACAAAAGTACTGTTCGTCTGGAAATTCTATCCCAGACAAAGTAAAATACTCTGTCGCACATTTCAAAACTAAAATATCAATGGCCTGGTGCTGAAAGTATGAGATCCGGGAAGTACTCGTGGAAACCATCAGAACAACGCAGGTGGCGAATGAAGGTTAGTTTCCTTGGTTGTCCTGTGGCTAAGAATATCACGAATTCTATGCAGCAACTACGCGCACTTTACCAGCAAAAGGCATAGCTAGGACGTGTTCAGACAGTTAAAGTGATTTTGTCTTTGTCATTTGTGAGGATTTAGCTGGGCTGATCGTCTGGGTTTCTCTGCTTACGGTTTTGTGGATTCCATAACCGAGTTCCAACATCATGAGTTACCGACAACATCCCTCCGGGTAACTTCCAAATGGTCATGAGCGCCTAGACTCGGGATGTTATCGATTGTTGAGGACGTTTTGAATCTAGTTAGATAGCTGACCACCCACTCAAGCCCGCACTGCTGATGTCACCTTGATTGATGATTACAATCCAACTGTCAAGCCCGCCGAACAGACCAACAATTAAACTCATTGCCGTGTGCAGGAGAATGCAGTACAACCTTTAAACTTGTTCTGGACACTGGAGATGAATAGATTTGTAATGTCAGGTGTGAAACATTGTTAGGCGCTTGAAATCGCTAATCAGAAAGTCAAGTTTATAGCCCCTCCATATCATTGATGATGAGTCCCGTTTTCCGGGATTCGACTACATCTTTGCCACAACACTACTTCAGGATGTCATCCTCAAGAATGGTTTCCTACGACAACTAATTTACAACTTTCCACACCTTTTCCTGTTGCTCACGACAGTTCCAAAGCAGGTATAGTCGATGGAGTGTTCAATAAGAATTGCAGAACTTTTCCGCCAGTCGGTTCAACGCGTAACGCCGACGCTATTTGGACGAATTTCTTTTTGTTAGAAAAGAAACTGCAAAGAAACACCAAACGAGTAACGTTCATACAGTTTCTAACTTTAGTCCCAAACAGCTTGCGCTTAGCGCCTTTGCATTAATAATGTATTACAATAAAATTGCCTCGACAGATCTGACAAATGAATGCGAGAATAAGAAATTTTCAACTGATGGATGTAGAATATGTAGTTTCAGCACCTTTCCGCTGATTGTACTTCGTCACATTAGATGTGCGGAAGAAAATCAGAGTGAACGAAGGACAGATGTAGTTAGTCCGATATATTCATCGTTTGTAACAAGTGAAAGGGTATATTCAAGTGCGAGCCTGCTTGACAAGATATGACATCACGGATACCTCGGCACCGCGCACCCATGAAGGGTCACTGTAGGAGATGTGGACACTTGGAATTTACTACTTGATTTGTTAATGAACTGTAACGAATTAGTCAGCTGGGATTGCCTACTTCAAAGATTGGATTCAGAGTTACTTGAACGGGGGAGGGGGGTTCAGAGGGAATACTGGTTGTTGTGGTCCAAAACATTTTATGTTTACTGGTGTTGTTTAAACCAAATATGGTGACTTCACAACCTTATTTGCGACTGAACGGTCACAATTCGCTGCTCCGGAATTCGCAACGACTATAGTTCGCAGTGTCGCTGGAAGTTATTGGTCAGTTCAGAGGACTACGCGGCCGATACCATCGCTGCATATGATGCACATTTTGTTTCCTATAGTGAAATGAATAACGCATGTAGCAACTATTCACTGGGTGACTCTTCCTATTGCCTGAAAGCGCCAATTCGCGTATTCTATGGTTGATTCCTTGTCAGTCAAACTATGTCAAGGATTTACGTTAATTGAAGTGAATTTTCGGCGTGCAATTGTACGAAAGTGTCACATAAAAATGATAGGATCTTTTGATGTGGGTTAGAAAATGCCCGGGAGAGTGTAAGTAAAGGACTACGGAATTATTGTGTGTAGTAATCACTAGCACTATTTTGCACTTGGAAGAAGTACATTGTTCAGCTGTAACACTCTTCCGGTGACTAGCTGCCATGGCACCATAAGGAAGCACTGGGGTTGAGATACTACCAGGTCTACTAAAATCAGACAGGAGCAGTCGAGATACAGAGTTTGGGTTCGATCCAGGGACCTTCCGGTCAGTAAATTTGTGCTCTAACCACTGAGCCATCTCGACCTCGGAAGAAGTGCATAAAGCAGATCTGACTGCGGTGACAATCGTCGGGAATAATTTGATTTGAAGATGGAATACGTATCACAATGTTTGTTTACCACTAAGTCGGACGAGATGCTTCTAGAGATGCCACAAATCTCTAATAATGAGATAGGTAGGCATGGAACGATAAATCCAGTGAGGAGGATAACAAACAAAGAGCTGGACGATCAACTCTACAAAGAACAGTTGATTTTACTCTAGATTATCTTTTAATCCATGCCCATGAACCGAAAAGCACCGCAAGAAATCTGAATTGAATTTCCCACATCCACTCATGCTATAAACAGTCAAGACTACTTGATAGTGTCCTACCTCAGACTTCTGGGTGAAGGGACACTGAAAACAGTGGAAGGTTGGTTAGTCCTGACTGCGTCGCTGTAACGCAGACCATAGGTAGAAGAGATATAGCACCTCTTAATATTTTGGGGTACCGAGGATGGAGAGGCATTCGACCGACCGGCTATCAACTTTATTAATTGAAGTGCTTGACCGCAGACTTGCTTCTGACAGACACCAACTTTAACCATTCATTCAGTCTATGGCCACCATACTTGCGCTGGATGGGGAGAAAAAGGAAGGGGCATAATCTTTACCTTCTAAAAGGAGAAGTAGGGAAAAAAACTCCCGTGACACCGCTGTGGGTCATCAGGTAATAATGGAAGCGGCTACCGGCACCGAGACTTGCGCGCGATCTGCCTATGATGCAGACTTGAATCAGTGGGACCAGGTTCTGTTCACGACCGTCCCTAAAAAGCTGCAGCGTATATCTTTTATCAGGTGTATGGTCTTAGACTTTGTATCCAGAAGTGCGGTGACAATTCTAACTGGGAATCTGACAACATCTGCTTTGTAGCAAGACTGACGATATACAAATAGGGTTTCAGTTTTGGCCCTTTTGGTTGATTCATCACTTCCGAGCATCTTTGGAGAGAAAACTGGTATAACCGATTGATCTAAATTTCCGTTACTTTATTCGACAGCACTGTTACCTTAGCCACTTGCCAAGAGTCAGGATTCTGTCCATTGAAGGGAGATTAGTGACCAGAAGAGAATGGTTCCCGAGAATGTCAGAATACGTTTTGTACGACAAGGGCGACCAAAAACCTTGCTTGACCTGACTTACCGAACGTTCTTATATCCTTCTGATGCTATGCCATCTGCGACCACACAACCGACAATTTCAGGGTTTAATAGACTCAAAGCACAGCTACTGAACTCATCAAGTTCAAGGCTAGATGAACACAACCTTGATCCTTCAAGATACGGCTGCCTCAAGACTAGGCAGATTTTACTGCAGCATTTTGTCTTGAGATCCGTTCTGACATATCCTATTGGGGCGAATGTTTTCCAGTTCAATGACCCGCGTAAACACTAAGACCTACCCACATCTTCCCTTTTTACCGCACTCCATTTTCCTCATAGAAAATTGAGGAGTAGATGAAAGAACACGTCAGTACTGGTGAATGGTTTCAACGAGACAGCATAGATCGAAGCAAAAATGGAAGCAGTTAACAGAAGCGCAGACAAAACGTCACCGGACCAAATAAAATTGTGAAAAATTGGGGATAGAAAATATGTTTCTCAGTCACATGATGTTACTTGACGAACAACCCTTTATTTTTAAGTAGACTTTGGTGACAAGGCCGTGTACAGCCATACTGTAAACCGATAACGGCATAGCGATATACGATAAGACTGTTTCTTACGGGATTCAGCATATCAGACAGACATATTCAAGCGTAATTCCTTTAGGATGTGATTAAAATGAGAAAAAGCACTAAAAATCAAATAGAGGACGTGCGATTAGCTAACGGGTGACGGAATCTCGTTCTACGTTACACTTTCAATAGGCCGGCAGTAATGGACTATTAAAGTGTTTTGAACGACCATACAAGTACCTTTACATCGATAAAAATACTTTGATATCTTGAACGTCGTTCAAACTCAGGCATTAGGTGGTATTTGTGCGGCACACTTGGTTGCAAAGTACTACGATTGAACGATTCAATTGAACATGCCCCTAACACCAACCGTATCTGAAAATGAGTTGGTAACTCCACTTGGGTACGGTTTGGTGATTACATAGAATATAATGGTGATAGAAAATTGATGGGATCATTGCACGCCTGATGTGCAAAGTGACAGTTTACCGGTAATGAGTTTTCATCAGTTTATAGGTATTAGATTGTCGAGAATACTACTTGGACGAAATTCTGCACAACTTCTTTTGCTTTATGTATGCTAATTCCACCGAGAACACACTCTTACTTCTCCAAAAGATTCACCAAACACATTGCTTACCTCCGGCTTTTGATTCTGCTTCTTTCTGCTTTTGCAATTTGAACAAATACCGACGCAATACGTTTGCTCTCATTGTATCCGTAAACTCCTGAAAATACAAGCCATAATAGAACAGGAAAAATTTTAGTTTGGCTTACGGTGGCGCAAAAATGTGGGGTTCTATTCGCACTGTGAACTACCCTTTGACAGCTCCACCGCTGAGTCCATCAGTTAGTTTTTGAGTTGTAGTTTGGGATGAGCGAATTTTGAACTCATACAAGTCGAGAGTCATACGATAGGACAGACGACAGGGAAGCAAACCATTAGATTTGACAGTACCAGAGAAGGACACGGAGGTTGAACTGCGCAGCGATCACGCTATTTCAATCAATCAAAACCCTGTACTTAAAGTTGAAAATGCAAGTGCGAAAAAGAGGTCCAATAATAATCTACGCCACCAAAACTTATAGCTACAAAATATAGTGTTGGATAGGAAACATTGACTTTTCTACAGTCGACCACAGTCATCAAAGCCCGATACTAAACCGCGCAAACATTTGTGGCCTCGGAAATGGTCGGTTAAGAACGGTCAAACCAGTCACTAGACCATACATATAGACGTGCAGTATCTCAGTGTAACAACCTAGAAAAAGTTCAACTGAAATTGTGATGAAGGTAAAAAGTGCTGTCTACTGGTCACAAAAATTGTTCTTTCATTCGGCTTACACTAAGTAATGACGTTAATCTCACGTCAGGCAATAATCTCGGTTCCAAGGAAAGTAGAGCACCCTTTTAAGAGAATGTCTGACAAGCCCAGATCGTGATCAGGTAACCTCTAGGGGAATTTAATGGATTGCAGAGATGACTAACCTGCCATTTATAGGAAACATACCACACACTTCCTGAGACATATCCTCACCTTGAGATTTCCAATGGCTTTCTTCGGCCCACCATCCCCATCTTCCCCCTCATCTTGAGAATCCCAGCTGTCTGAGTGTACTGGTGAACAGTCTAATCCTGTGCTAACGGTTGTCGTCGTGATTGTCTTCTTCAGGTTGCCCGGCGGAAGGTCGTCGGATAATTCATTTTTCGTGTTCAAGTACTGATTTTTCCAAACAGTACTGCGTAAATTAATTCCACCACCTTTATGCCGGTCTCTTGGACCGTGGCCTGGACTGTCGTGGGTTGGGTTGCGTTTCAGTGACGCGCGGAATCTCCCTACAGAAGAAGAGAGAGCCTCACGAGAGGGGAGTAAATTGAGCGGTGGTGGAAGTACTCCCTCTTGGTCGATATATACCATCCACAGACTGGCGCGGGCGAATTTCCATTCTTCTAACCGGTCACCCTTTAGGACGAAAGAAATCCAGACGATCAAGAGACTGGTATGGTTAGCATCTAATGTAGCAGATCAAGGCTAGTACGCTATCAAAATCTGACAATTTTGATGGAACTGTTCATTCTAGCTCATCATGTCCAAGGGGATACTTTAAAACACTTATCGGTTAAATATATCGTGCTAGACAGGCATTGCAAGTAAGCTCCTGCTTCCATTCGTCTCTTTGAAACATGTAACAGATTATATCGACACAGGGGCGGAATGTCGATTTGAAGTTGCGCATTAGGAACAAAACTGAATGCTGTGAAAGATGGCACAGGATCTTATCTGCTCGTTGCTTTTTGTATGAATATGCATCGAAACGCTTACTATATAAAATTCCTTTTCTTCCCACAAAAAGGCATTTCGCATCGTTGGGTGAGGCTTATCAAACGAGGTCCTTTCCGCCAACAAAATTAGCGGCATGTAGTGAGTAGGTTTCTCTTACTGGAGAGAAGTAGGCTCAAGTAGGCTCTCACGTAGGCTCAAAACTGCAACTGAGACAGTAGGTGGCTGAAGCAGAGCATCTTGTGTAGTGGTGTACCTTAAACTGAGGACTCATTCGCACAGAGAACCGCCGATCAATCGTCACTCAAAATACATGGCAGCGTGAGTAGTCACCACTGGTTAGGTCTTAGTTCACTAAGCTTCGAAGGCAATAGAATTAATAAATGAACGATGAGCATACGAGGCGATTTTTGGTGTCCTTTACTTACCTGAATTTCATCAAAAGATTTACTCATCATTGCAATCAGCATGTTCAAAAGAATAATGGTCATGCATGCGTTGTAAATGGCGTAAAGTATGCTCCCCAGGCTGTTGATCATAAAAGGACTGCTATCGACAGCTAGCGACTGATGTCCCGGATAGTCTTTCGCTAGATCCGTATCAATTGTTGTTACGTTGTTTGAAGACTGTCCAAATAATGCCCAGTAGAGTGTGTAGAAGGTGGCCCCTGTGCTGAAAGTGCGGAATCGATATAGAAATTTTGGAGGATCGATATACGAAGAACTGCAATAAAATAATTGTAAACGGTAAAAGGTGTTTTGTGGCAGATATAGAGGGCAAAAATCAGCTTGCCTATTTACTTTAGGATGAAAGCTGTAACTGAGACTTTAGAGCTGTACCTGGAGACTTTAAATTAACACAGATATATGTAGTAAATCACATGACTATATTAGAGAATGTTAAAAACATTTTACTGTGGAACACTTTAAACGTATATGCCAGATTTCATCCTTATCCTTCACGGTCATCACGCGCTAGAACGCGCCGGATTAGAGTGATACCATCAGGACAAACTGTGGTCAGTTATGACCGTAACATACTTCAGCACTTATCTGAAAATTTGCCTGCAGCGTGAATCGCGACTGTGAATTGTTGGGGCTAAATATTTGCACTTATTCAAAAAGATACAACGAATATTGTGGACTGGTTGATAATCTGGGTTTTCTACGCACATGTTCGTATCCGAGCTCTTATCGCCCTGTTTCGGTTGGTTAACAATTAAGAAATATTGTTGTGGTTACCGGAGAAACAAACGTGCGAGCAGGTAGACTTAGTGCTGTCCAGTATCGATTGGGTGGTCGACCTGTACTGGGATCAAGGTCCACTGACAACGTCGACCGCCTTCTGCAGTCATAGACTGCTTCAGTGCAGTGCGAACTTCTCAGATTGCTCGAAACTCGGACACTTGTTCCTTCTGATGGGGAGTACAGTACAGACGAACTGCCAGGCTTCAGGTGACGAAGAGAATCTGGGCTGTTGGAGGAACTTAGTGGTTCCAGAAGGTTGACTAGTTAAAGGAGGCGACAGAAGCTGGGAATGTGCGCAAACTGTTCCAGCTGATACACGTGACAGGTCAAAAGAGGTCTCTTGTGAGCAAAACAGTAAGGGACACAAACAACCTGCCTATTGTTAAATGAGAAGAGCGTGTGAGTCACTAGTTTGAGCGCTTCTAAGGACAATTCAGCTGACCATTATTAATTGCTCAGCCGTATTCCTGGTTGGCTATTCAGACTCGGATAATGAACTTGGAGCCCTGACACCATCTAAAATAAGGGAATGCCTGAAACGTCACCGACCTGCTGGTTTTGAGAAACACCCACCCCCTGTGTTCACAGATGTGGGTAAAATCCTCAATCAGTGTTTGTCTAAATTCGCTTCTGTCTGGGCGAGAGACCGTCCTGACTACTTGGAGTAAGTCGACGGCGTGCCCATTTTCCAAAGGAGTTTTATCAGTGAATGCGACAATCACGGAAGAGTCAGCTTGACCCCCGCTCTGTTCAGACCCTTTTTGTTGCTTGTTTTACGTCATCTTACGAAGGAGCATGAAGACTGGACCTGAGAACAGCAGGCAGGATTTCGGCCGAGACGAGGCCTTGTGGACCACACTCTGTCAAGTATCAGGGCGATAGTATGTGTGTGGGCACCCTACAATCTTGGTGTTGGCTAACATCAAGGAGGCGTTCGAGACTTGATCGGTTGGTTCCCAGCATGCTCACGCAACAGCGTATACCTCAGAAGTTCGCGACTATCGTACGCTCTGCGTATTCATATGCTTTTTGGCGCGATAGAGCTTCCTCTTGAGCACGGGTGTTTGAAAGTGTGCGCAGTCTCTCCATTTTAGTTTACTTTCATGATTATTGAAATAATGAGACGAACTCTACGATTACAAAAACCCCGGAGTTTAGATCTCCCCGGTTGAGGATTTAGTCGACCTGTAATACACAAAGGACCTTGTTTTTATCTTTGAGAAACAGCGAGAACTGCCAAAAATGCTGACCGAAGTCATGCAGCCCTTCGGCGTGTGCTTCGCGCAAAAAGTGCAAAGCCATGCTGCGAGACGCACAGTCTTTGAACATGCCTCCAAGAATTCAAGAAATGATATTGAAAAATTGTAGAATTTTATAAGGATCTCGAAAGTTGCAATAACATTGACAGTGGTGTGACAGACGAAGTTAGCCAGCCAATCTCAAGGACCGGAGCTGCGTTTGCCGATTTGTGCCAATTGTGGCGGCAAAAACACACCACCGGGTCTCAAAGAGCGCGTATATCAGACTACAGTAAGGGCTGTATTGTTGTACGGCAGCGAGGCTTAGCCAACTCGGGCTTGGGGTCTGAGACATTTTCATGTCTTTGGGCACAGATAGCTCAAAGCTATAGCTGGAATTCATTAGGACCAGCAAATTCAACAAACAGGTTTTGGTGGAGTAAGGGTTCACTTGACTGGACAGGCTGAACAATATGCCAGCTACTCGATGTCAGTTGTGCTCATAATCCCAGTTTCTATCCAGATTGTCCGACTGAGTACTGAGTACCCTAGTTACATTGCCTGTTCCATTTTTTCTTCTCATTATAGGCCTTCAGCCGAATAAATTAACTTGGCTGTATCACAGTGTTCCCCTTTGGTTTTGTTGCCCGTGATGACTGATGACTGATCGATATTCCAAAACACCGACCGCAAATGTACTGTCTACGGCTCATGATATTCGCATAGTAAGTTAAATCTTATGGCAAATATTCTGTGCTGAAATCCTTCCCAGATACCCTTCATGTCTTTCGTTTTGTTCCATTCTGGTTGTTGTGTGCACAGGGAATCGTTTACGATAGTTAAAGTGGTGATAGTAATGTGAGGTTTTGCGGGAGGTGTATTGTTCAGTTTCACATCACTCTTGTTTTGAACAGTCTTCCTCCTGTCGATGATGTGTCGGGGATACTAATCCCATCGCTCAAGTGTGAACACATTCGCCCGTTCAGATGTGAGAATTCAGATACGTCCATCATGTGCTGGTGGAATAGCGGTAACGCGTTCGCCTCGAATGTTAGGTGTCCAGAGTTCAAACCCCGGCACGGCCATTGGATATGCAGTGCTGATAAGCTCCAACAAGAGCGAAACTCGACAATACTCGCTTCGGTGTAGATTCACATGAATAATTGCGCCAGGACAGAAGGACGACTATTCAAAACAAGAGTGATGTGAAACTGAACAATAAAATAATCGTTCATCTGTAACGTCCTTTCCATGTACAACCACCATAGCACCCTAATGAACCATTAGGGCTAAGACAGTGCAGGGTCGTCCAGTCCTAGAGTAGTTCATTCGAGGTGTCATAGTTGAGCTCGATCCGCGGATCTTGGAGTCCCTAAGTTAGCGACCTAGCTAGTGAACTATGTACCGGTTATAATTAAGGAGAACCAGAATGCTTCTCCACACAAAATAGTTATAGGGTCTATATACAGACTATGAAGGATAATATAACCGCATCAGATCTGCACATAAATTCAAACCGTAGCGCATGGCGCCATCACGCCAAAGGCCACAGACTGGTTATCGAAATGTATTTGCCTGTTGAATTCGTAATCATACAGTGACAAAATTAATTCGCTGAATTCTTCCTCTCGGCGTTATGCAAAAGCCCCTCTCATATGTCCGCCGGACGAAATCACTCTCAAAAAGGTAACGAGCTTTTGTTCTGGGCTACCTCCAACCAACTTAGGAATATTTTCTGGTGGGCTATATCTAATGATGTATAATATTCACTATTTACTACACAACATTGTCAATCAAATTTTAGAAATATTTTACGGTTGGAATGGGCCGCAGTTTCTTGTGCTGTTACGGTATCTTTTACTACTATTACGTGTTCCTCAATAAATGCGTGTAGAACAGCCGTTTTGGAGCATACGGTGGGCATACATCCTATGGGATTACTTGTGATGTTTAGGTTAAGAGCCCATTGTATGGGGTAGCTTAGAATTAACCTGGAATACGAAGCTTATCGCTCAAAACGATGGGTTTCATGTAAATACTTGGACAGGTCAGTGAGATGGCTTTGAGTTTGAAAGAAATTGCGGGGTTTGGAGTACATGATAACAAGTCGTCACCCTAAAGTACATCAGTGGTTGCTGAAGTTTGGCATCTGTTCACTAATTATTTTGACACGATGCCATTGGTGTACATGAGAACATTTCATCTTTCACGATCACAAGAAAACCGAGATATTAATATGCGTTCCATAAATTGTGAGTAAATTACACGATTACCGGTAGGGTCAGTTGTCAAGCTCGGCGTACAGATCAACAGCCACATGATCAACAGCCGGTGTGATTAGCTTCGGAAGACTGAGTTAAAATAAGACAATGCTTTCGGACTATCGTGAAGTAGACCAATAACCTGGTCAAATTATTCCTCAATTATGCCATACTTCGCCTAAATTTAATTTTGAATTATAGTGTCTTAGAATGGGATTCGAACCCGCGCCATTTTGGGAGAAGAGCTGAATACCATCATGTAACGAGGGGAATATCCGGCAGTATAGACAACTTAAGTACACGGCGGAACAGCTTACACGAGTTATCTGATTGATTCATTAATTTTATTGACGTACGATCTAAGGTTGATAGCGGGTATCCAGGGGCTTTACAGCTCTTCTTCGAAGGCAAGTCTTCACTGAGCCAATATCCAATTCGCTACTGAGGTTCAGGGCTTTTTAAAGAATACCTATTGGTACGCTTCATCGAATTAGCATATCTTCCATTGACTGGAGTCCACTATCAGAATATTCTCAAGTGTAAAAGCCCACACGTCTGTCTCAGATAGGTAGAGAAGTTACCGAAACATCACTTACCTTCTGAACGCAGGAATTCCGCTGGCGTAGCGCACCACCCGTCCCTCAATGTCCACGGTGATCAGTATGTTTGCAAAGTACCAGTACAAGTTGGTCAGTCCAACGACAAAAGCGATTACCATCTGTGCGCATTGAAACATATCAGATTATGCACTGCAACAAAGGCTCACAGGAAGATGTTATTCGTAACTTGGGGGACAAAAGCGTCAATGCTTGTAAATTATCAGTGATGTGTTTTTCATTCTCAGAACTCCAGTCATGCGAAACCTTCTCCCTGAAAACTGTGTACCAGATCGAGTGCTTGACCTTTAGTTAACGGTCACAGACGCTCGACCTGGCACAACTCCCACCCACCACCTCCCCTTGCGCGACGCAAACTAACGCGAAAATTCAAATTTACAGTTCAGTTGATAGCAGATCCTCCATAAGGATCGACTGGTACAGAAAAATCTGAGAATTGTTTAAAAGTCAACTCAAGAGCTAAATTTACGTTTGGTCATTTCTACGTTGCGCACTACCTCTGCCTGAAGACGCTCCTCAGAGGCTGGGTGAAGGCAGCCTTGGATGCGGCCAGAAGGGACTCCCAGAAGATGCACTGGGTCACCACGAAGGAAGCTCTTGCAGCGGAGCTCAACACATCGGCTGACTGCCGAGAGGTTATGAGGCGGTTCAGGATAAAAGCTGGATGTGAACTGACCATGTTCTTTGCCAACCTGCAGCAGTCGTTGGATCGGCTTGACGGTTAACCAAGCACTGCCGTGACCAAACTGTATGTCCGAAAGCTTCCACTTGTAACATACCGTCAGTACAGTCCGTGGTCGAGGAATATTCCGAACCGTTCATGGAGAAGAAGATCCGTTTGGCTTCTGCCCGTGGATTGAACCCGAAATCTTGTCCGAATATTTTCGACCTTACTGCTCCCGTTCGCTGCCACTCCATCTACATAGGGTAGGTCTAAAAGCAAGTTAAAGAGAAGTGGAAAAATGGGATAATCGAGGAAGCCAGTGGTGCGTGCACCTTCTTTGTGAGGCTTGTAAGGAAGGCGAACGGAAAATACAGGTTTTACGTGGATTTCCGGCGCTTGAATGAACTGACCACAAATCGGGTTGTAGCTATGCCTTCGGTTGCGGAGATTTTCGATCCCCTTTAGCATTTCCGATATTTCACGGTGTTTGACTTGCGTTCAGGATACCGGCAACTGTCTATCAAGGTGGAGGACCGGGAAAAAACGGCGTCACGATTGGGGACATACAACATCAATTTCGACGGTCACCGTTTGGTTTGTCTGGGGCACCATTCATATTCCAGCGCATGGTACTTTGCCGTGTACGAAGACGATATCGTTGCGTACAGTAATTTGGAGCCAGAGCGCGCAGTTCACTTGAAGGCTGTATTGAAGCGTATCCAAGAGGCTGACCTGCGGATAAATGAAGCCAAGACACAGCTCGAGCGGAATTTGGTGACACTGCTGGGGCACAAAGTGGTTCACGGTGAGGTTAGCTAATTGCCAGAAAAATTGACGAAATAGAGGACTGTGCTGTTCCCAATTCAAAGCGGTCTCTACGGCAGTTTCTTGGACGAGCAGTATACTACAGCCGGCTTGTCAAGGATTGCAACAGGATCGCTGCGCCAATGTACCACCTGCTCGGTCGAAATCAAAAATTTCAATGGACTGGGGAAGCACATGATGCTTTTGAGCGTGTCAAATCGCGGATGTTAGATCAGCAACTGACCCTTAAACTGCCCAGGGTCGGTGAGATTTTCACTGTTGCAACGGACGCCAGTGATCGCGGTATCGGCGCACTTCTAAAGTAGAGGAATGGAGTTATCGAATATGCCAGTTGTGTCCTGACTAACGCTGAACAGAAGTACTCCACCATTAAGAGGGAATGTTTAGCGATCGTCTGGGCCCTGGATAAGTGAGGCCATAACTGCTTGGGAAAAGGTTTCATGTCAAAACCGATCACAAACCCCTGGAGTGGATCAGGACTACCAGAGATCTTCGCAGGAAGCTCGCGCGCTGATCACTCCGGTTGCAAGAGTTCGACTTCACAATCTAGCACGTTCCAGGGAAGGAGAACCACTTGGCTGATTGGTTGTCAAGGCCAGAGGCTGAAGATGAGGTCCCCAAGATCATGATTGGAGCCAATGACCTCGTCGTCGAACTGGATCCCGGAAAGTTGGTGCAACTCCAACGGCAGGATCCTGTGTTACAAAAGGTTTCAGCCGCCTTGTTGGATGGAAGGAACATTGAGAACGGAGAGGGAGACAAGGAATTGGAAACGTTCCAAAGTCACTTGACCGGCTGAGTCTGAATGAACCTGGCATAATTTTCTGGAACGCCACTGATTCGGATGTTGTGTTGCCCGTGATACCTGGCATCTTGAGACGGAAGCTTATCGTCGAATGCCATGAGATGGCACGTATAGGGTGCGCCAAGACGTACGACTTACTTCGGCAGATGGCCTACTGACCCGGGATGAGAAGTGAGTTGATGGATTATGTGGTTTCCTGTAAGCGGTGCCAACTGATGAAAGGAGATGCGATAGGGGCAACCCATCCCATGGGACCTATTCCTGTCTCAGAAACCGGTGAATTATGGTCCGTTGACGTCATGGGCTCTTTCCGATGACAACCAGTGGTTGTCAATACATCGTAATAATGCCGCCGCGATGAATTGCGGCGGCAGCCGTGCCTAATCAGCGGGCGACGACGGTCAGTGGACTGGTAATGCACCACATCGTGGCCAACCATGGGGTGCCAAAAATGATCCTAACTGATCAGAGGCGTTGCTTCGACAGCGAAGAGTTTAGGAATTACTTGAAGAAGCTGGGTATCAGACAGCTAAGGACGGCACCATTCCACCGCAAACAAATTGCCCAATCGAAAGTAGTAAACGAACGATCAAGGAGTGGCTAGTGGCCAAAGGAGGTGACTGAGAAATGAACTTGCCAATGGTTTTGCTAGCTCATCGTGCTTCCACACAGTCAACCCCAGTCAAGTCCCCATTTATGTTGATGTACGGTCGACATCCGCGCCTTCCGGTTGATCAGGAAATTGGGTTGTGGCCGGCAACACGCTTGTCTCTGGAGGAGCTAGATGAAGAAAGAAGGATAACTCGAAAAAACTTGACCGCCTTTCAGGAAAGGACTAAGCAGAAACGGGAAGTGGGTGGCCAAAGGAGGTGACTGAGAAATGAACTTGCCAATGGTTTTGCTAGCTCATCGTGCTTCCACACAGTCAACCCCAGTCAAGTCCCCATTTATGTTGATGTACGGTCGACATCCGCGCCTTCCGGTTGATCAGGAAATTGGGTTGTGGCCGGCAACACGCTTGTCTCTGGAGGAGCTAGATGAAGAAAGAAGGATAACTCGAAAAAACTTGACCGCCTTTCAGGAAAGGACTAAGCAGAAAACGGGAAGTGGAAAGGCACAACTATTCATCATAGGCGCGAAGGTCCAGTGGAAGGATCCTCAGAGTCCTGGAAGGGGTGGATTGGGATTGTGGAAGCTGGGCAGTCGATTGCAAGGTCTGTTTGCTGTTACCGACCGCCGGGGGAACGTCTAGGCAATTCAAGATCGTCGGGGATCGAAAAGAGTAACTGGGACGCAGCTTCGTTAGTGGCATGATACACTTAAAGAACGGCCGAACTGACCAGCTGCAGGGGCCGACCTAACGGAGGTAAATGAAAATCGGTAGCATGCGAACGACCTTTAAGGTGTGTGAAGGAAGGAAGGATACCACTGATGAGGCTTGCGAGTAGTATGTTCTCTCGTAAATCCTCTTCGCGTCTCTTGAACAATAGGATCTATTGTGGAATTGGTGGAATCGCTCAAGAGCGTTCGTTTACATTTGAGTAATAGTCAATGAATATCCAGGAAAGTTCAAGAAGACGCGTTCGAGTAGAAGACGGACATTCAGTTTTTATGAACAAGATGCATAAGAGAGTTTTGTTTCCCTGTCCAGCAGTCTGTAAATGTTCAGTTGGTATTTTCGAATAAATGACTCCGCAGCGAAGGTCTTCTTCATCTCATTAGTACTGTCCAAATATAATGTTGCACAGAAGACCCAATACAGAGGATAATCGCCGGTAATTATGTGACTTTACTTGCACCATTCAAAAGCCTGTATACGAATTGCAGTTCACTCAAAATTGTCTCTCATGTGGTAGAAGAACAATGGTCATTCCAGAGGTTAGTTACTACAGATAGTCCGTAACTCAAGGCCATTTTCGTGGCTCATAGTGAAATTTCAATAGACGCTTCTTCTCAGCCGTCAGTTTTTAACAAATTTTCTAGCGGTATAGTAACAAGATTTTCTTGCTTCTTGGTAGAAACCTTGACGAAAGTTTGCCGCGACCTACTAGGGCTGGCCACTACAAATGGATGGTCTCTGTAGAGTAAGATATCAAACAAACTTGAGCACTGGAGAAGTAAATGTGCGATAATCAACATAAGACATTTTTGAAAAGTTTTAGTGATAACCACCAACTCTTGAGCATTTGAGCCCGAGAAATTCATGAATTACATGTGTGGTCATCGCAGTCGGCGGGCCTTTCCACCTGTGAGGCGGACATTTTATACAAGCAAGCTGTAATACCAGTTCACCTGATATGTGCAAACAGTAAAACCAGTAAATTGACAACATGGAATTGATTAGAGTACGCCATCCGTGAATATATTTCTTCTGTGAAAAGGCTGTTAAAACGTCCAACTGCTTGATATTTAGGCAAGGTTACCCATGTGCCCCACTGAAGTTCTGAGAACTTTAATCATAAGGCCCTTACCCGCACATGGTATGGATTGCGTAGATTCAGAAAACATGGGAAAACATTTCTATCTTGTGCCACCTTGGGGAACAGTTCTTTGTTAGGGAATTATGAAACGAGAGCACTGACCAATATCTACAATCCTGATATTACATTTTATTATTGTCTACTCACAAGTAATGGATGAAGAAACGTTTAAGCGAAAAAAGTATCCTTGGGTTTTCTTGGTAAAATCTCCAGCTGATTGCTCAGTATTACGAAATCAAATGTATTCAGGTAACTGGGAGTCGAATAGCTATACATATGGATGGCGCTTACCTCGAAAACAACTGGTTTACAGTGGTTAGGAGGTCAGCGATACACAAATAGGAAAAAGAAGACAACTAGTTGCCGCCTCTTTATAGAGCGCTACGAAGTTGACTAAATATTGACGGTAAATTTTTTTAGTGTGCGCAACCTGAGAGAAAGTTTTTCCCGAAAGGAAGAACTGCACTGCGACTACCTTTCGGCGTGCACAAGTTCGCGAGAGAGGATGGACATAGCAGCTGAACCGAAGTTGTTTCACTTAAACTGTATTCAAACATTTCGAACTTTTGCGCCTTGTAGTGATTCAGAAATACTGGTGTAACTAACAGTCATTATAGTTTCGCCTCAGTCTCGTTCATTTGAGTTCATGGACATAATCATTCAAATTTTCAACTAGGTGCACAATGCACATTTGCATACTGAGGAGCCATCTTGTTTCTTTTGAAAACTGCAGGTAGACTGTTGAAAACAAACGGTACGATTTGGGATGACCGAAGATTTTGAGCTTCAATTATTTTTTAATATCAGTAAAATGTTTTAAACTTACCGTCCTCAGTGAAGTAAAAAAGAGCCTATAGATATCAGTGCACAAGAAGACCCCTACAAGTAATTATTGTTTTTTAGAGATACTACTAATTAACGGGTCTCCAATCCTCATCAGTAGCAACTTTCAAACAATAGAGTTAATGTTGTTGATCAAATTGTTGGCTGTTAGGCAAGGGAGATAATTTTTGGATGCCCCAGGAACAAATCCGAGCATTCCAAGTGGAAGTTGACAATCAACAACCAGTCTATCTATATGGTTTGGCTTCACCCAGAAGACAATAGAAAGTTTGACAAATTCCAGAAAACGACATACCACACTGAATAGGGCCATAAATCGGATGATATCAGTAACCATTCTGGCCAGCGAAATTTGTAATGGTCCAAGTAACTCCCAGGCTGGCATCAGGTGACTGATCCGGGCGAATGACAATACGTTGCCCAATGCAAACAGACAATCCGACACGTACTCAGGATCATCAGAGGCCCACCACAAGCGACCTTCAGTGGAGAAAATGTTAGAGGCTTGGATAATTTTCTGTGTGTAAAGTATTAGACATGGATCCAACATGGTCATTCTCGCTTCACTTAGCTTCTTCCAAGACTCCTTGTTACTGCTGCAGACTGCAGACTGTTCAAGTAATCTTACAAGGTACTCTAGCTATGGTTATATTGAGAACGTAAATTACAAATCATAACGGTGTAAGGTATAACCGATTTAACTAGGTCACTAACATTTGGGACACTTAAACCTGACCGGAATAAAAAAGAAGTCATCATGGTTCTGATGCAAATGAATTGTTAATACTTGCTAGATGGAAATGATTCTCTAGGAGAATGAGTGCCACTGAGGCATGTTGCTCAACTGTGCATAAAATAACGTTTATATAAGTATGTATATTTTTGGGCGGAAAAAAAACCCAGTCTGGCTTTTATTGTAGAAGGAACAAAGGGCTATATTTGTTTGGAATTGTTGCTTGCTGTTGCTGCCAGAGAAGCAGACAAATCAATTATTCACAATCTTCGGGAACTGGCAAAAGTAGTAGAACAATAACCTGATAGAGGGATCGCTGTATGACTGTTGTATAACAGAACATTGTGACTGATCTAATGTTTCAACATTCTTTTGGCACTCTAGCTTCAACTCTTTCCTAATTTGCTTCCATAGTATTCCAACAATGAGGAAAGTGGAAGAGCGATCGGGCAGAAAGGTGTGTTTCTCTGTAATTGTTTTTAGTGTCGCTTACTAACTAGCATTTTCAAAAAAACTTTTAATCACGCAAGGAAACAATAATATTAGCAGTGGTAGTACTTTCAGTTCAAATTAAGCGCAAATCAAATTATGTGACAGCAAGTTAACTGCTGTGGAGTCCACATGAAATATTTTAAGACAATATGAAACATAAACTGTTTGCATCTAATTATATGTGCATTGGTTATTTTCACATGATATGTGTAATGTGTTGAATGGAAAAAGTGAGTAGTACTGAGATGAGGTAGACAAAACTGTATTTTGGACATCCATACTAAAGGCTGAGTTAGTGACCAGGCATGACTATAAACGGCAGTCGAAATTCATCATTTTGGCTGTTGTTCCCACCCTGTATTACATTTAGTCTCGGCACCCACTTAATCCACTAAAATTCTGATTTGGACAAATTTCAGTCGGTTTGATTACCGTTTGATTACTTACATTACAGACTTTCTAGGATTACCCGTAGTAGCGACAGTAGCAGCAACAGTGATAACAATAATAAAATTGGTTTTGACTTAATATTACTTGCGTAGGCATCAACTATGGACTGCTTCAGGTTGGACTACTTTCCACTTTGAAATATATATAAATGACTTACTGTTATTAGCGAAGGAAAACTAACGCTTATCCAAGAAACGTCATCCCGAAATGTTAGCTGTTGCCCTGGATACGATTTTGGGATTGTTTCATTGTAAGGCAGCAAAAATGATAGTGAAAGGAATAAACTATTTGAATAACGAAAACAGCTTAATCAATTGGCCGAAAAAGTGATAGAAAAGCGTTTTTTGCGCATCTAAGTTCTACGAGGTTACCGAAAGCATTAGTTTTCAGTATAGCACATTTTAGCTGTACATTCTTCAAGCTCGGGAAGAACCTTTTAAGCCTGGTTCAAAAGCTCACGGTCAACTGCACAGCAACTCTGCAATCTTGGTCTTAAGAAGTGCCTGTCTCTTGCACGCTTTGTTCCACTTTCCAAACACCAGTTCTCAGATACCCGATAATGTTCCATCGGAATAGGTGAAATTTTCTATTAACTAATGACTACAATTGTCAGAGTTTTTCGCAAGGAATATCCGAAAACAATGAACAAAATGAGCAATTTAACTGTTAATCCAAGAGTCAAAATTATGGACATGTTTGTCTGTCCTTATGCACATTGATTCAACCGAACAAAGATGGGACTCAAAACTGTAATCTATTGCTCTCAAAATGATTCACGGACTATTTGGGTTACACGAAAGTCCGTTTATCTCGCGGCAAGAGTAGATTTTCCTGAGTTTGCCTTGTTCAATAACATCAAAAGCTAATGTACAGACATCATACAACGATAGAAAACAGTAAGCACAATAATGAGAGAAATGAGTTGGACAATGGTTAATTTTCTATTATGTTTACAACCATACGTTCTGGTTGTGATCCACAACAAAGGGGGAGTAAGCTTCAGGTCATACATGTGGAAGTAGATCTTCTATAAAGATCACAACAGTACATTTGAAAAGCGTGTGTCACTTACACCCTTGGGCATATTACTCAATGCACAAAACCATAGCGGCAGTTTCGTGACAATCGTTGGAACAGGTTGACCTGGTAACTCCCCCAAGAACAATAAGGCCGTGTGAGTTGGAAGTTAGCCAGTACCATCTTCAGTTCAGGCGAGTGTACGGTGAGATTACAAATCTAGCGAGTTGTAACTTTTCATGTAATGCAAGACCACAAGTGGTGCAGGATAACACTGTTTATCAACTTTGCTACTATAGTGACATGACTGAAAGTCACTTACATCCTCTCAACCAGTAAGCAGAAGATGGAAGTAAAATATGATTACGATAGTTCACATAATCCGTGTCAGTGTGCACATCAAATCCCGGTCCGACATGGATACCCGTTCGAGTTGCGTTGTTTAGCAGTTCATGAGCTGTGCGAAGTTCATCCCGGTACATTGTCAACGCCGATTGGACTTTGAAGTCTACAATAATTCGAAGCGAGTAGGAGGCAAGGTAGATGGCTATTCCAGCCCAGTCCATCACATTATAGTAACTCCGGAAGAAGTAACGGAGGCCGAAGTAATACACCTGCTTGCATTCCATACCGAGTTGTCCTGCATTAAGGGAAATTATCCATAACAGACAAGCGATCACAGGAATTTTAAACAAAACGAGTGAAATAGTCATCTGAATATGTATGAATATGTGTGAATATGAATATGCAAAGTTTTCTTTGGCATGACAGCGCAGGACGCATTCAAAACGACGAACGCCTCCATCTCTATAACTTGATTGAATTGACGATAGTTTTTTTCTACATAAATGGTCTTTTAGGCTTTCTGCTTAAACTGTGCAGTGCAAATATACTGGTACCCTTCCGTTATGTTTCTGGTTATGGACAAGAATTCAGAGTTGGGTCAATATTTACTTACAAGATGACAGTAGTAATATTATCTGTTTGGGTATTACTATTATCTGTCTAGTACCGCTATTCCTCTGAATCACTACCATTTAGATCAGACAGGCTTGTGTTTTCTCAAGAATTCCCAAGAATTCTGGCCAAGTAGTGACATGGTGGCCGCTTACAGTAACGGATAGGAAATGCTTTCGCGTTTGGTGATTTCAGTAATTTTGAACATACGGGGCACGTATTAGGCATGCGCATGGAAGAACCGTTGGTGAGTTTAAATTAGACTCTTAATTCCACCCAAATTTATCAAATAATGAAAATCACAACGTTCACGTCAGCTACCGTATTCAGACTTTTCCACGCAAGTTGGGAGTATGTGGTGTTTGTGTGCGCAAAGCGTTGTCATGAGGACCTCGCATGAGGATGGATTAATGCATTGATGAGAAGGAAAGGATTTATGAGACATCCAACTGTCTATTTCAGGGTACTAAATCAGCTTTCTGCCCCAAGGAACTATCAACCTGGTTTGATTTTGTTGGAGATTTGCGAATTTGTTGAACCTGCAGAAACCACCTTGAGAAACCTCAGAATTCTTTGGCTGGAGTTTTTGTGTCAGGCAACTTTCCATATTAAGTGTAGCTAACCGTGAGCTGAACTTTCCGGCTTTGTCCTTGCCTAGGCTTATTTTATTTTTAGGACCATCTGGGTGTACGTCTAACTTAACAGGACGCACTTTTACACTGTGAACTCGAAACAGACTGGTGTTCTCAGTAAAACCCGCAAACATTTTTTGGCGTACTTCTAGAAACAAATGTTACGAAGGTCTTGACAAGATCAAAGGCTTTATTGTTGGCTTATTCCTATGGTACGATGTTTTCGTTTTACCGCCATTTTTTTCTTTGTCGTTCCATAGTTAGCTACATGTGTCCTCGAAACCATAATATACACTCGAATGCCCTTTGTTCAATTTGCAAGCCGGATCTGTGAAATGACGGACTCTACAGTTTTGCCCATTACTGACTGGTCGATGTCAAACCTTCTTTGATTAGTTTCAGACTACCAGAGTCCCTGTTTTATCATCGTTTCGGTCTTGCAACGTTTTACTGACATTGTTCAACCAACCTTCGGAGGTAGAAACGAATTTGTGTCCGGTCTTTAAACTCAAAAACAATCTTTATTCTTTGCAGGTCGACAACGTGGCTTGAAGTGTTTGGATTGTCTCACAGTATTTGTGCTGCTCTTCCGTTCATTTATATGTTCACATGATGCACTAAGTCAACTCACATGAAAATATGAAAGCAACTTCGTTACTCATTCTAATCTATTTACCAGCTTTCGGTCATTACAAACCGATACTTTCTCGCCAAAACCCTTGTGTCCATAGCTCTTCAAAATCCGATCCAACATCAAATTAATCCACAATGGTAGTTTCCACAGAAAAAGTGTTTAATGTTCTGAAATCAGACACCGAAATCTGCATGTGAAGTCTTTTAACACAACATATTGTTACGGATCTGGCTTTCTAGATGCTCTGCTGTCATGCACTGTACTTCGATTGATATAAAACTGCTTACTGCTTCATATGTTGGATCGATTAACTATTTCCCTCCAGGTTTTGCAGCCTGCATTTCCCAATGGTTAAGTAAATATGGCCCAATTTGCAGGAACTGAGCACCTCTCACTCACTCTTAATCTAGCCATCTTCCACTCCATAGTTTATTTATTGTGGCTCGGTTATTTGGCGTGCTGTACCCTCGTGTTTCATACGTCCCTTGGAGACTGGCTTTGACAATGTTCCTGTGTCCTGTATCGATGGATTACGACAAATCTCAAAAGTCACCCATGTTTATCGTAAACCCAAAGGTTCCAAATATATAGGTGGATTGCCTCTGAGGTCAGACACTTTGGAATGCTGCAGTACACCCATATATTTATATTCGGCTCGTTTCAGAAAACTAATCGTAATTGACAAAAAACAGTGGAAACTTGAAAAATAATATGTGCGAGATTCGGTTGAGCCACAGGTGGATCTCCTACAAAACCAAATTTCTTTGCAAATGAGTGTATCTCGCAAAATTGGAGTGTTCTACGGCGTAAGGAAGTTTGCTGTGTAACAAAGATGCTCCTAAGTTTTCACCGAAAGAGCTATTAAAAAAGTGCGAATCTCCACATGAAACTGGTTGAACCTACTCACCTAAAATCCAAAACAGCAAAATTATTTGAATTTTGGTCATAACAACATTGTTTGTACGAAAATCGTAACTCCAGATCTCCATTGAGCGCCTTTCCCAGTTCGCTTCCTCATCCACCAGGTCGTTGCGATCCAGGCGAAACGTGGCCACAGTAATAAGGATGAGAAACGTCACGTAGGAAACCATATAGCCAACAAATTTGATCACAGGACAACGCAGAATAGTGGCAAGCTAAAAATGAGCAAGGTGTAAGGGGTCAGTCATTGAGCTATCGAGATAAGAAACTTGGGCTGAGGAAGTGTTTTCGGAACCTTCGCGGTGGTGTGGAGTTCAAGCTGTTTTCTCTTAGCTAGTGGGAGTCTAAACAACCTTCCAGGTGCGATACTAGACGAATTACGAGACTTAATTTTTCACAAATGCTTGGTTTGACTAGATATCGTCCCCGCTCACATGCAAACACGCCTGGGGAAGTAGTGTACAGGCTCAAGTAGGTTGTGCTTAACCTAATACCTTCATGTGCGCCAAGAGGTTATGTAGCTTGGGGAAAAACCTGCATCTGAGCAATACAGGTCGGGTGTCTACACGGCCGAAACAGCATAACCCGGGGGAATAAGGCAGGGTCACCGATTTACTTGCTATTGTAGGCTAGACATAAAGAATTTCGCGCCATTGGCCAAGTTGGTGTTATCTTAAATAAACCGTTATTATTGGTTCATCTGATCATTTAGGAACCGCGCTGACATTACTTAGGGAGTTACCACTATGACCGCTATAATTTTAACTTTTCCTTTCGGATAGTTTTATTGCTTACTTACTTACCTACTTACTCACTTACTTACTTACTTACTTACCTACCCACTTACTTACTTACTTACTTACTTACTTACTTACTTACTTACTTACTTACTTACTTACTTACTTACTTACTTACTTACTTACTTACTTACTTACTTACTTACTTACTTACTTACTTACTTACTTACTTACTTACTTACTTACTTACTTACTTACTTACTTACTTACTTACTTACTTACTTACTTACTTACTTACTTACTTACTTACTTACTTACTTACTTACTTACTTACTTACTTACTTACTTACTTACTTACTTACTTACTTACTTACTTACTTACTTACTTACTTACTTACTTACTTACTTACTTACTTACTTACTTACTTACTTACTTACTTACTTACTTACTTACGTACTTACTTGGTATCGTACAATGAACAAAACCTCGTAGTCACCTGGTTTCTCTCTATTACCCTTACTTGCATTCTAAATTCAATTGCGTAACAAAATCGGGGATGGAATAACCTTCCTCGTTCGTTAACTCCACGTGCTGAGTTTCGGCTTATCAATCTGACTGCATTTAGTTGTGCAGTTTGAGATCTAAAAACGCTCTCTTGGTTACGAAAATATTGACACTTTTTTGGAATCTGCAGTTTTAACTATACCGCTTGAACGATAATCGCTACATGGGTATGTACTACGTAATTTACTTCAGTTGGTTGATAATTTTGTTTCATTGATTCAGAGAGGAACTATATGCCTAATGGGATGTGAGATTGTCTGACATGAAAATCAGAACGATCAGACTGAAAAGCAAAGCGCTGAAATCAAGGTAATTGGACATGCCCTGCAATATCCAAGTGAGACGGTCCAGTTTGGGCACCCTATTTAAATAAGCTGATGCATCCATTATTGGTCCGTTTGTCGCCATTCTGTCTGGCTTATCAAGCCATCTTACGGTCGAACTAGCCGAATAAGAATCTTTTGGTGGTAGTTGAGTGCAGTAATCTTGTACGAGCAAGTTCAGCTCAAAATAAGACAGACCTTTAAGAAAGAAAAAATGCATCATCACCCGGTCTATCTCTCTTCATGGTGTTTTACCGCATATGCCATCAAACATGTGACCCACACCGTTAAAAAGCTCGAGGAGATCACTGGTCAAGAGCATCATTGTGCGGACACCAGAAAGGTTTCTGAGTTATAATCACTAACGAACGACACAATGTGTAAAAACGCTCATTGACTATTTCTACTTGTGTGGTTTCATATAAAATTCACAGATTTAGGGTTTGTTATCCACTTTGCTCGGAACTGAGTTCTTTTCCATTCAACAATTAATGTTTCTTCATTCTTATAGTATCTCCACCTTGCCATGAAGTTAGAAATACGCTTGATAAGGGTGAAAAAAATTGACAAGGAACGGAAACTTGATTTAACTGAGAATTTACACAACACAGGTAGTCAGAACATTAGTGAAACAAAATTCAGCAATGATATAACCTCCATTTGAATTTCTATCGCCATATATTTTTTAAAGTTAGATTCGCCTACCTAGATCTGTGCCCTTGGTTTTACCCCACCCCCCCAGAGAACATTAATCATCCACAAATGGTAAGTCAAAGCTAGTGAATTCGACCCGCACGTTGTGGTTAGCAACGAATCTGATTTAAATCACCGATATACGTTCAACAGATGGGTGTGAGTGATATCGACAACGGGCGAACCACCTGGAATTACCATCTCCCAATCATACTAAAAAATACAGGTAAATCAGATGACGTCTGTTGTCATCGACAGAACCTCCACAGAATAACTTGTTCAGATTCACTCTGTATTGGAATGATACTCAGTAGAAGAATGGCAAACATTATTTTTCATTATATTATTTGTTATTCTCTCCCTTCCTAACGATAAACGACGAACGAGGAAGGTGCTGTAAGCCAGTAAATTTCATACTCACAGTTTTAATTATCGACTTTGATTGAACAGGTGCACTGCATATGAACGAAAGTACTTCCAGTCATCTAAGTGGTGTGGCATATTAAAGCCATCTGTGATTTTTCACATGCAGGAGGCAACCTTATCCAATACCAGAAATTTTATAAAATGACTGAAAGAATGGAAAGGTTTGGGTTGTGCAAATTCGGTTGTAACATTGTCTGTGTTCTACATGTGCTTCATCTTCATTTGTGGGTTTTGTCTTGGCCTCCTTCGGGAAGCACCAAGTCGATTTCTCACTGTACAAAGCTTTGACATGTTCAGTAAAATGCTGAGCAAGCCTGAAGACTGATTAAATCACAGTCCTTTGGTTGATATACTCTAGTTGAGTTTCAGGGCCCGACTTGCCATTCAAGCGCGCGCTCAGTCGAAAGAGAGTGCCCGGGAGGATTTCCTCGTTGATTGGCTCTATCCACAAGAGGTTGGAAAGAATCTATTCAAACAAATTTTGACCCATGGTTTTTTTGTTAGGAGCTGCTGTAGTGACATGGCTGGATTTCCGCTTGAGATGTCAACAACTCACACAGGCAATCGGAGCCATTGATGGATTACACGACAATATAAACCAGAGTGGTCATGTGCGAAAAAGGGATTACATGAGACTGGATGCCGGACTCCTCATGAACCGAGAGATTTGGAAATTCGTCCAGAATTTTAAGAGCTCATCTCCAAAAAACTGCGCAGAGCAGCTCCACTAAACCACAGAATTTGGCTAAATCCGGACAAACTAGACGTGTTGAGACCAGACGGACAACGTTTCACACCTAGCTGATGGGTGATTTCGTCATAGATTCCTAATCGCCTCCGCTGAAGGACGGTTGAAAGAAAGTGAATCATAAGCCCAACAGTAGCTAGATAATCTATCGTAGTGATCAGCGTAACAGTAGTACAAAAGCATCCGTCAGTGGAAGACCCTCCACCACTGAGTTGAAAGTCTTACCTCATATTTAATACTTCCTCGATCGCGAAAAATAAGGGCTTGTGGCAGTGGCATCTAAAACGAAGCAGGAAGACAAAGTAATAATTGGTAGACAGCGCGGCTTGTGCATTCACGATCGCCCAAACGAAATATGTGGTTTGCAGTAATACAGAAACCTTTATCTACCAACCACAAAAGTCATTTAGGTTACGGATTTCTCGAACAAACAGGGGACTTCAGAATGTCGTTTTCCCTATCAAATTTTTGTGGAAAGCAAATCATCTATAACGATTTGGTTGACAGTGTCTATTTGTACTAAGGTTACAGAGCTATGGGGAAAAGGGAACACAAATACATAGAATTTTGTAGTCGTGGACCCCGTATATCTCAGTACGGTAGCTGTTCACCAGTGAAGGGAAGGTTAATTCAGGAGAACCAAGTTATTTACGGTGTCGAAATCTTTAAATTCCTTGAGTGAAATCGTATTCCACTTATTATCTCCTTGGTATCAGGTGAAGACAGGGTCATAATCACCACTATTATTCTGCGACTGTGTTTTGGTCTGACACTCAACATTAACCAACTCCGAAAGCGTGTTTTACTTTGTTGCAGCTGTTGCAGCCTGTTTGGCTCTCCGACTGCTGTTTTCTGGGCTGGTGTAATACAAAAACAGAAGCAACTGCAAAGACGGATGTGCACAAAAGCATCATATACTTGTTGAATAATATTGCTTAAAGAGACTATGGACACCACTGTCAGGGTCATGTTCAAAGTTTTAAAGCTGCACGTTCTCTCGTTTTCTACTATAATAAATGCATCAAAAGGCTTTGAATTGGGTTTGGTTAAATGTCTGATTCTTTGTGATCTTCTCCGTGACTCTTGCTTGTCATCACAGATTAAAGAAAGACAAAAGATAACTACTTAGCGAGACTGAAACTTTGAAACTGTACAGCCATTTTGTCACATGGTCATTTTGTCACTGGCATGCATTCTGTGATACCAATAGTCTTTTTGTGTCCTTAGTCTGGTTTCTTTCGTTTAGCTATCGCACTTTACAGCGAAAGCTTGCCAAATACCTTTCTAGACGAAACCTCTCTGTCGGGAATGATGTACACATGTCACTGTTAGGCTGAGAGAGCCTAGATGATAGAATGTGCACACTGTGGGTTAACTTCTGTTGGTGACTTCTCACTAAGCTTAGCACAACCACACTACGTTTGACTAAATAGAGGGGATATCCGCTTTTCGACTGCTAGAATGTTATTGGCGCGAAACACAAAGAGTTCGCAATTAGTTTATCCTCAGCTGAGGAATCAAACGGTTGGTCCCAAAGACAAGCTTCAGAGCAAAATGGGTAGGAATTTCCTATACGTTTTTACAGTTTTGGTGTTCATGTTTTGTAGTTCAACTGGACTGACGTGGTGATTAATCACAGTGCATAATCATTTTACCCCAAAGGCGGACATATACATGTTGGTATTACCGACCTGTGTTCAGTCCAGTGTGGATTCGCTATCACCTGCACTTACAAGACTACATGCGCAGTACACTTGTATTGGAAAGGGTTGACAATATTCACTTCATTTTTCGTCACTAGCTATAATGCCCCAAAATGATAAATTACGACTTACCCGGAACTTTGGAAAAAATAGATATATAAAATATAAAAGTGGCAAAAGCGGGAGAAATATCAGTAGGAACTGGAATCGCTGCATTCCCTCAAAGTCGCGGATACAAAACATCGGATTGTAAAACAGGTTTTCCAGCTGATGTTGACAGTTGGAGTGGGCAACAAACTGCAATAGAAGAGGTATTTGGAAACAATGTTATACATGATAATCTGAAACTGTGTTTGCTTACTGAATGCCGGATGGCGGTAAATAAATCATAAGTGCAAAGCAGAACATGGAGTTACGCGTCATCTGCTGATATATGTCTGGGGGGATAAAAGCCGCATGGACCTTCTGATAGTCGGTCCCGTAAACATGCCAACAAGGACCGGCATACAATCGTTCACCCTAAGGTGCTGGTGTCATTCATCAATATCTTCGACTTGCACAATGGCCAGGAGTTGTTTACTCAGACAAATGGAAATGAATTCCATATAGCCTTGAATTCACCTAGCAGAAGAACTGCAGCCATCTGACAATATCTCATTTTTATGTTTCATATACAAGCCATATGTCCCACTGATAGTCAAGCAGAATATGGTACATTATGTACACAATAAAGAAAGGGAGATATGTTAAGAATATTACGAAGGAGGAAGTGGAAGGTTTTACGATTTGGTTATCTAAGTATATTACTAGGCGAAAATTGCAACTCAGTCTGCAATCTAATATTAATGCCGTCAATTTGCCTTTTAAATAGGATAAACCCATGAAATCCGGGCACAAAAACTCAACAAAGAATCGGCCTTACCTTTGAATTAGTCATCTCTTCCACTCGCTCTGTCAGAAGACACCCTAGAGAGAAGCTTCGTTGTCAGGATACCTCTGTGAGTTTTTTAAGTATGTCCGTCTCTATGAGGGCCATTAGATCAGTTGGACTACGAAGCACCTATCCAACCGTACATGAGGGTTAATAGTCTGCCCGTAAGAAAGCAACTTTAACCCACCCCCACAACAGGAGACATCAGATGAAAGTCACAAAGGCCTTTAAGATAAGGCGGAATACGTTCGTTTGCAAGGTAAGATGGTGTCACGGAAGACTTGATCAATGTTATCATGTCATGATGTTTCTCAACTAAACACTATGCATGCAATTTGCCATTTGTTTTTGGCTGCACGATATCCAAGAGATCAAAGCTTTTCCATAAGAAGACTGGCAACTGCTGCATGTATTAAGGCTGTTGATAGGTACTAGATAAGAGATTTTAACCACAATTGAAGTCAGTGACATGCTAATTTACGAATTTCACCTTCATATTCACATATTCCCGATACCCCTTTCTAAGATGCTTCACTTGGTTTGGAAAATTCGAAGGGAATTTGGCAATTCACTTTAATTTTTTCGATCTACTCAGGTGGTGCCACTGTGCGTCCACGTTTAAACGACATTACCCTCGTCTTCTTGGATGCCTTAAAATCAGTTTCCTATCTTGTGCAGAATTCGCTTGGCGTTTCAGCGAAAGTACAGTGAAAATATGCTTCTTCCTTTCATACACACCAACGGTTATAATGCGATCTATCAGTGAGAAAAATGAGTTAGATACGTTTATTTACCAACATCATTTCACTGGAACATAATTTGTACCAGCTTTGGATTATCTACTAATACGTCCATGTGCTTCTGAAGAGGGTTCGGTCTTTGCTTTTTCAGAAAATTTAGCCACTGCCACTTGTAAGAGTCAGTATTCAGTGTGGTCTTCAAAATGTAGCGACACAGCCAGATATGCATCTAATTTTTGGACTTGTTAGACATCTCTGCAAACCATACGACACAGTTGAACACTTTGGGTTATAATAAAAAAACTTTCATGTATTTCAAATTTTTTGCCATCCATATGAATACCCTGGGTAATGGACATCTACCAGATGCCGGCTTCGTGGACGTAAGGAAGACAGCTGAGAAAGTCAGCTGATGCATGACGCCGTGGGAACAGTGTTTTCGTTGTAATCAGCAAGGCTTTTGACTAAATTACAGGTTTCCAAAGGGACGGATGGGCGTGCTAGTCTAGCGACTTATTCTCATTTTCCCTCTCAGCGTAATCCCTAAGTCTCAAACTATTCAAACCATGTTTAACCCAAACCTTTATGATGCGAGATGTGGGCTGGCTTACGCTTGCTAACAGCTTAGATTCGTGATCATGAATCAATTGCATAAGTTAAACATACTGGTCGAACTGAGCTCACACCTGATCACTGAAATATGTCCTCCTGACAACCGCGTGATATTTTCTGGCCGGTATACACGAATTTGCTACTATATCGACGGACCTTTACCAGGTGATCCCAGACGTCATTAAGACCATGAAGGAAAGTACACCCAAACCAATAATTTTTTAGACTTTAACAGCTCTGCGGTTTGTTGCTAATCTGGAAAGATTTGGAGTTTTTTGTCCACAAATTCAAAAGACACACTGTACAGCTGTTTCATCTTTTAGTGTAAACAAACAGCAGTGCGCATCTCACGAATCTTTAGAGAGATTAGATATCTCTATTTGAAATTTCCAAATCTCTCCGGGCTACCAGAAAAACACATGTAGCTCAGAAAGGACAATAATTCATACGACCAGTGAAACTTTCGTTTCCCGAATCTATCTGTTTCCATCTCGGTGAGCGGGAGTCAACACGTAAGCACATGAGGTGAATGCCTAGACTGAAGGATGAGTTGAGGTATTGCGAACTAAATACACTAATGTTCGGCCACAAGTGGCTGAACATTTTGGTTTTGAACCAGTGGTCTGGAGTTTGTGAGTTCGAACCGCCCTGGAGATGTCCTCATCAAGAGATCTGAGGATCAGGTTGGTAAATTTTATTTTGATGTTAGTTGTACGTGCACACAACTAACAGTGACTTAACATTTGGCACCTGGACAGTTGGGATTTGCTAACGTCTATTCTAGGTCCTCATTGATGATCAGTGTGACACACTTCAGACGTGATTCACCGCAATGTAACCGACTCGTTTAATGGGATGCACTTGTTTAGACAAACCAGTTACTCTAACGCTCCCTTAGTTGTTTTATGAGGTTTCGTCGGTAAGAGCAGCTAATATTTCCGGAATCCATGCAGCTTAATTGATTGAGCTGTCCAAACAAATACAACAGTGATTACCAAACTCTGTATTGGTTGAAGGTGCACAAAAGCCCATGGCAAAACGTCTGCGGAAATTCGCTGCCAGCTATGACGGACAAAGTATTCGAGTGGTTAAAAAGGCTCCCATTTTACAATTCCGCCTTTTGGTTCTATGAGTGGTTAAAAATGGAACGGTGAGCAAATTTCAATTGTTCCCGCTGAATTGGCGATCCCCATTCTATCAGTTTTGGGAGTCTAAACGTATGTGGGTTACGGATGATGAGTAATTAGTTTATGCGGGTTCAGTCCGGTGTTGGGTCTGATTTATCTTTTTTACTCCCAAAACGAGATTACCGATTTCTCGAATTCTGCAGTCGAACTACATTCTTCCACTCAGTTTGTTCATACTTCATCTGGGTTGAGTGGGTTGTTCACAATCCCGTGGGATTTTTTAATTTTTCTACTGACGAACTGGAGTGGAAATTGGGGGTAACTTGCTAAAAAATATAGCAACTCTATTGCTATCACGTATCAATTCCCAAACCGCTGGTAAAGTGAATGCGAAGCGTAAAAAATGCACAGTTATAAACTTCGACGACAGAAGAGGTAAATCGTGCTCCACCTAAATATATCTTTGCTTTCCATTTAATGAATATTTTATGATCAAGTAAAAAGGATTACATTTTACGAACCTCAAGATGAAGTCCGTAATTCATATTGGTGAAGAGAAGGCTGTGAGTTTGAGGTTACCAGAATTCTGAAAATATCTTGAAGATCAGGAACAATAAACCCAATGCGTATATCGTATTTGAGGTTAGGGAGAATGTATACCCAGTCAATGTAGAAATTTGTATAATACAGAAGAGACTTAAGCCAAAACCAGCAGGAGACCTAAACGACTGCTGTGTAATTGCTAAATGTTCGGATGACACAAACATCTTCTTCGATGGGCAACTTTTTCATTATCTAGCGCTGCGATCCCTTTAAAATCTTGTTTCTGGCTTCCATATGTTTTTTGTGTTAACGTCCATATAGCCCACCTAAACACCGTCATCTAGCTTACTCTTCAGGTAAAATTTAAAACAAATGTATCTGGTGTTACAGTGCTATTTCCAAGGACTTTTAGCGGAAAGGAATCTCTGACTGGAAAGAAATGGCTACACGGTTCGAAAATGTTTCGTTGTGAAAATCTTTTGAGCTCCCCTTCAAGCAAAAACGTTCTTGGTGTGAAAGATCTGGCAATTTTTCGACCGGCTACTCACGCGCTAAGAAGAGTGTTGATCTCCCAATCAGTACAGTGACCTCAAGAGCATAACACCGTAACCAGCCAACGGTCCATTGATAAGCCTGTAATAACTTTGGTCCCATGATAATGAAACGACCTAATGACGGTTTGATAGGAAGAAGTTTGATTTGCTCGGTATGAATGTATCTTTGTCTAGGCCACTCATAAGTGGTGGTACTTTCAGTCGGTCCGGTAAATCTTCTTTGAGTAGGAAAACCACTGCGAGAATAGACCGCTGTTCAGCTTGCATCTCCATAAGGGATATTGTAGTGACCAGTGTATTATGAGCTTACGCAACTGACTGCTGTTCTCGTTTGTCCTTTTGAAAGGCAAGGCTGTATGCCAAACTTTTGTGTTTTTGGAGCACATTCAGGTCTTCGCAGTCATGAAACCGACTGTGTTACCTCAATCTAGGAGGAGAAAACAAGCATACTGTTTTGTTTGGGTCAGTGCCAATGAGTAGGGAGCGAGCATTTTCATAAAGCCTGTAGTCTTTTGGTGGCGAAAACCCATCTCTTCCGATAAGTCAGTACACAAAGGATAAAAAGCAAGTCAAACTGAGTGTTTTTCGGTGGCTGAACGGACATTCGTATTTCCAGTGTAATTTTCCTGGAGACCCCTAAGTTCTTTGGCTAGCTATCAGACTTCAGAGGCACTGTCAAAGTGTAATGATTTACTGGTATTGTATTCCGTATGAATATATATATATATATATATATATATGTATTTTCACTAGCGGCTGGAATGCGACTAAGTCAGTAGAAACTGTGCTA